TGAGTAGATTGGTACTGTAATAATCTACTAATAGCAGTAATATTATGGATACACTAGATGTACAACAACATCTGAAAAAGATTCACCCCACTCTAGAAAATAATGTTTATGCTGCCAATAAACTACCCATGTACACCCACGTACCAACGTATATAATATGCAATTTGGATACAGATGATAAACCAGGGTCACATTGGGTAGCTTCATATATCGATACGAATGACGTCGGTCAATATTTTGATTCATTCGGACGGGCACCTGTACGATATCATCTAGAGTTTTTTAAAAGAAATTGTAAAAGATGGAACTGGAATGTTGATAGGATTCAGAATGAGTGGACTTCAGTTTGTGGCGAATATTGCTTAATGTATTTGCTATATAAGTTTCAGGGATGTTCAATGCATAGTTTTACGAGTATATTTACAGAGAACACATTGTACAACGATATTTTAGTGGATGAGATGTTTCGCTCCTATTTTATAGATAATAAGTAATAAGATTTTGTATTTCATAAATAAAAATTTTAACAAAAGTAGGTAATGTGTTTTATTGATGATTCAGATTAGTGTTGTAGATAGGAACAAAGGAGTATAATACAATAGCATAACAATAGATAAGTAGATAAGGACAATGGAGCGCTAATGACGGTTGAGGCTCGCAGCGGATATCAATTAGATAACAGTTAATTGATCTGCACATCTCCGGAACCGTGCATCCTACGCAAAAATGGACCGCAGATTCGTGATCAGAGCATGCCAAAACCTTTTTTTTTTTTTTTTTTTTTTTTTTTTTTTTTTTAGGATTGTGAATCGTGAATCGACGAACGTCGTGCGCCAGAACTGGTACAACCTTTCTACAAGTGCGCCAGAACTGGTACAACGTAACTACTTACGGGCTGTTAAATAAAGCAAATACAAAGATGTATACGTGAAGTTGAGCATTCTGCTTCACTTCTGCGTTGCTATAAATGTAGCAGCGTTCTGCCTGCTTTTCTTTCTCGATCTGAGTATAGTCCAAAGAATAAGAAAGTAAAAGTATTTTACTCTCTGGTGATCTTTCATTTTTATTAACTCAGTAAATACAAAAAAATCTAGGTTAAAAAATTATACAAATCAAAAATGTGAGATTTTTTTCTTTTTAATCATCGTGTACTAAGGGAAACGCAGAAAGACCGTAAATATATTTTTCATAATTATATACTTATAAGTTTAAGAAGAAGTGCTATTTATTTCGTAGATTAGCTATATTGCAACCAGTCCTGGGCTCACGAATCGACGTCTTGGGCTGCGAATACCAGCGATCTCAAAAAGAAATACAATTCCGCCTCCAGGTCCTTCAAAAGTGGCATTGCCAATGCAAAGTCAGAGAAAAGTGCTCTGACTTTGCATTGGCAATGCCACTTTTGAAGGACCTGGCAGAATTGGTGAGAAACTGGTTCGAATTCCTTCGGGAACATGTGCATTCTGGTCTCTCACCAAGGCTGTCCAAGGGAACAGGGAGGTAGACTCACTGGCCCATTCCGCAAAGTACAAAGCCGATCTGCTGGACTCTCTCTTTGCGCCTTGATTGACTCTTGATGACGGGGGGAACATGCGGTGTGAGTGCTCCATGCAGGATGTGCGGTTTAGCCAACGCTAGATGCGCAGAGCACTCCTCTTCTTGGAAGTCAACAAGTCGAGTGGGCCTGGCGTTGTCGTTCCTATTTTGCTGAAGGCGTGTGATCCGGAGTTGGCAGCAGTTTTAACGCGTCTTTTCCGGTACTCCAACTCCTTGGGCGTAGTCTCGAAATCATGGAAAACAGCTTTCGTGCACCTGATCCGTAACAACGGCAACCGCTCTGATCCGTCCAACTATAGGCCTATCGCTATCACCTCTTTGTTCTCTAAAATAGTGGAGTCCATTATTAACAGTCAGCTCATGCGGTACTTCGAGGATCACCAGCTGATTAGTGAGCGCCAGTACGGTTTCCGTCGGGGTCGCTCAGCTGGTAATCTTCTAGGTTACCTAACTCATAAATAGGCGGAGGCAGTAGAGTCCAAGGGGGAGGCGTTGGCATTTGAGATAAAGCGCTTCTTATGAAGCTTCCCTCCTATGGGCTTCCCGAGATATTGTGCATTTGGATCACCTGTTTTCTTGTAGAGCATTAAGGTTATAGTAGACGGTGCACCAACGCTGTTTCTTCTGCATATCAATGTTATGTTGCAAACCAGTAACATTAATTGCTATGTGGACGACGCACTGGTGATGCTTTATAAATCGGCTGTGCCAATATTTCTTGGGATAACGTCCCGAGTACCGGGACAAACATGTGCCTGAAGTCGATACTTTATTGAACAAAGTATCGGACTGGGGGCGACTAAATCTAGTCCAGTTTAATCCCCATAGGCCACAAGTTTTCGCGTTTATCGCTAAAAAGAACCCCTTCGTCATATTTCTTCAGTTTTAAGGCACTCCCCTTCTTGCCTCAGTCAGTATTGGAATCGGTCCCGACATATCGAGTGACGTGCAGTTTCGTGGTCACTTGGAAGAGAACGCCAAATTGGTCTCCAAAAAGCTTGGCATGCTCAGCAAAACGGGACAGTATTTCATGCCGCCGGCAACTTTACAAGGCACAAGTTCGGCCACACATGGAATAATGTTCCTTCCCAGCTTGTTGCCAGCTCCTTCCATTTTATCGCATTCAGCGGAGAGCCGTTCGAATCGTCGGCGACCTAGCGTTTTCCGATCGGCTTCACTCACTGGCACTGAGAAAAGATGTTGCAACTCTTTGCATTCGCATCCATCACGGGGAGTACTCTGAGGAATTGTTCGGGCTTATTCTAGCCGCACAATTCCACTATCGCACATCGGGAAAAAACTCAGGATACCATCAATACCATCTGAAGGATTGGCGGTCCACCACTGTGAGAATTTAAAGAAGTTTTCTTCCTCGCACAACGTCCTGGTGGAATCGACTACCACCAGAGATTTTTCCGGGTCGATACGACTTAGTGACCTTCAAGAAAAAAGCCTACTCCTTTTTAAAAGGCCGGTATCGCATCTGCAATTCTTCTGGTGTTGTAGATGTTCATGGGCAGCGGTAATCACTTACCATCAGGTGAGCCGTGTGCTCGTTTGCCCCTCTCCTATAAAAAGAAAAACAAAAAACAATAACTTATTATACGTATAAAAGGTTCGACTACTATTTATAGGAACTTTATTAATTTCTTAATTTAAAATGCAATGAATGATTATTGATATCACTAGCCAAATAAACTATTTGTTTTGGTGATAGGTTACAATAAAGTATTACCAAAGTACATGATATTTCAGCAATTCCACAAACACTTAACAAAATATACGCAACGTACAGCAAACAGACATAGTAGACAATTAAATATTTAATTCATAGATTTTAATTTTATTTTTAATTACAATTTAACATAATTAAACATAGTTTTATTAGTAGCTATTCAAGTTAAATGATCATTATTTTGTCACTGGAAAGCCAATACTACTCAAGCGCCATTTTGGCCAAAGTAAGTTATATAATATATCGTTGCATTGGATTTTTATTCTGCATCGATTAGTCTGTATATCATGATGATCTGAGCACTTTTTGGCGCTTAAGCACTGCGAAAGTATGATATTTATCGTAATTTTCATGTTTTGACAATAACTTAGGTAATACAAGTTGTGATTAATTTTTGTCGTTGTCAGCTTAGTATTTTTCTTTACTCACAACCGACATTTCAATTTCGTTCAGCAACTTAAAACACTGTACCTAGTTAAGTAAATACTAGCTTATATTTAGATAAGCAAATTTGCTTTACGTAGAAATTGATGAGCAACGCGCGTTTGTATATTTTGTCTTCGCAGTTCTTAGAGGGAACGGTTTTAGTAACTTTGCTCTACATATCTAAGTATTTGAGTGTCTGTTTAGAATATTTTACATTCAATGAAATCGAATAATTATTTTACCAGGTATGGACTATATTTAACTCGACAAAATATCAATAGTTGGTTTAGCATTTAGATGATTGAAAAAGGTCCAAAATATTCAGTCTTTTGAAATTAAATTTTATTTTGTTTATGATTCGTTAAGTCCCACATTCGTTAAGTCGTACAACAAAACGTAAACAATCGTCAGAGAAAAACTTAGAAGAAACAAGAAATTATATCAAAAGCTTATCTTATTTACCTTTGCATTACAGTCGCAAAAATTCAAAAAATTTTACCTTCTTTAAGAATTTTGAAGTTTTGGCTAATTTGTGTATAAAAATTACAAGGAAACAATGATACGTGAATATAAAGAGATAGTGGGAGAAAGAGTTTTTCAGAATATTTTTAGATAATTTAATATGCAGAATATCTTGATTCCAGTACGTAGATAATAGGGCCACGTTTTTTTTTGCTTTTAATGTATTTCGATTTCTTAATTAGAAAAAAAATAAGCCCGGTTTGTAAAAAAAAAAACTTAAATTGGGTTTTCACTGGCTTTCCAGTGACGATTTATAAAATTTAATATGTGAAATTTTAGTAGATATAAGTTTAATATAATATTATTTTAAAGTAACCAATAAATTTTCCGTTTCTTCTGTATTTAGAGTTTTTAGCCAAGATAAGATTAGTTTTTTTTTTACATTGATATTTGTTAAACAGGTAAAATTGTATAATTTTATTCAGTTTGTTGTAAAGCATTAGATTTAAATATATTACTACTATTTAAATGACTGTGTAAAAAACTACATTAATTAACATCACACTGGTTAGGCGCGTGGGTGATCGCAAGAATCAGTAAAAGCTCCACATCACTATTGGGAGATTTTGTATACTTATATAATTAAAATGAAAGGAGAAAGAAATAGAAATAACGTTGCAGTCAAATTCTAATTGCATTGTGCTTAATTGTTAAATTTGGCCTCATGCAAATGTGATCTTCACTTCATAATTATCTGAAATATACATTTAAATAAATAGATAAAATTATATGAAATTAATTTAAGACACATTAAACTTACATTAAACCAAGTCGTGATTAATTTCCACCTTAGCTTCGTGTAAATCATAATATTTGGATCCTTAGACGATGCAAAGTCTTTATTCAACAAGATCACTGCCATAATATTATGATGAGCAAAAGTCAAACAATAAACGAATAATCTTACTTTAAGAAATAAGTTACGATTTCTTAAAAAAATATTTTGTAAGGTAAACATTGTCGGGCATTTACACTCCACTTTACGTTCGGTTTCAATAAATGTATACGGACAACTTAGCTCCAACCTTTGAAGTCAAACCATATTATATTGTGTTTGTTTACTAATTGATGTCTATTATACAATTAAGATAAACATATAAAGTGTAAACGTATTAAGAAAATAAAGATATTAAAAAGCGAGAAGAGATATTTTACGTAATATATATTATGCATAACTTTCAGTTATCCCAATAAAATAAAAACTATCCAATGCAATATTTTTTTAACATACGTGGTAGAGTCAATCTGCAGCTATATTATGGTTGTACTTCAAATGAGTCAACTCGACCAGGGATGGATCACGCTCTCACAGATCAACTTAAAATAGCAGCTTATTTGCTGCTGTGTTTGGTATGGTGAGTGTAAAGAACCTGAGATCCTTTTTACTGGATACGAGGCATTCAATATTAGTCTTCAGGGAAAACAACGCATCTAAACTTTGATTCTTAATCGGGGATAGATGTCAATGTCTATGGGCTACATCTCATAGAATTGTAGTCCAGAAACCTATTTTTTAAATAGATGGGCTCGATTGTATACCTCAAACTCGTATGATGCTCGCACTCATAGATGTGTACTGAACTAACAACTAATCGGGCAGCGGTATTTTTGTCGCCGTCCCAGCACTTCCTACCAAACAGATCTAAGACAATTACTGCGTAAAATAGACGGTCTGCTATATTAATAACAGAATAAGTAGTATTTTATACGTGGTAGTGCCATGCTATAGCTATAATATGGTTGTCGAATCGATCGGCTTAACCAGGGAAGGACATTTACGACGATGACCTTATTCAATAAAAAAAATACTTCACACACACTTAGTGGGGGCAAAATTTAAAGAAATGATAATAAATATTGTTACGAGCTTGAGGTTCGTGACAATAAAAATTGCCGATAAAATTACCTAAATTAACACTTTAATTTACTTTACATAAATTAAAACTAAAAACACTAATAATTAAACACACTAATTCACTTAATTCCGCTCCGAAGCTTCGCTTGTGTCGCCGAGTTCAACTCTGCCTCGATCGCATCTTGCAGCGCCTATATATTTAAATTAGCAAAGAAATATCCAGAATGTTCAAGTAAACACGCGCAAGGTACCGAGCGTTCGAGTTTCGACTAGGCGCTGTCGGTTGAGTAATTTGTGATGTCATTTTCTCAATGCTCCCCTCGCTCTCGTTCCTGACACTAGATGGCGCTAGTGTATTGTCGATTTGAGCGCGTAACACTGCCCCCTCCTAAGACATGCTCGTCCCGAGCATTATCGGCCCCATAATAACGCGCTAGGCGATCCACATGGACGATCTTAGGAGTCCCTCTTGCGCCTTTCTGTATCCGGTAGGTTACATCGTTGATCCTGGTCACAATCCGGTACGGGCCGTCCCATTTAGCTTGAAGCTTAGGAGATTTCCCTTTGCTGCGGACTGGATTGTGCAACCACACAAGTGAACCTTCGTCGAACCCTTTGTTGTTCATTTTGCGGTCATACCGGGTTTTCATCTTTTCAGACATTTGCTGGCCCGATTGTCTGACGTGCTCATAAACGTCATTCATTTTTTTCCGCAAGTCATTTGCATAATCGGTTATACTGCGTGGAGCATCGGGTGGTATCCCGGTGATCAGGTCTGCAGGCAGCCGTAATTCTCTTCCAAAGTTTGCGAAAGCTGGTGTCACTGCTGTACTTTCGTGAACAGAACTTCGATATGACAACAAAAACGGTTGTATGTGCTTGTCCCAATCTCGTTGCCGATTGTCTACAACTTTTTGCTAGGTACCTCTCCAATGTCTGATTAAATCGTTCCACCATTCCATCAGATTGCGGGTGATAAGAAGTCGTTCTTGTTTTATGAGTACCCATAACTCGGCAAGTTTCCTGGAATATTTGAGACTCAAAATTCCTTCCTTGATCGCTGTGAATCTCTAAAGGTACTCCAAAACGACAGAAGACTTCATGAACTAGTTTATCTGCAACTGTTGAAGCTTCTTGATTTGGAATGGCGAAGACTTCTGGCCACTTAGTGAAGTAATCCATCACAACCATGAAATACTTGTTACCGCTTTCACTCTCCGGAAACGGCCCCGCCACGTCAATGGCTATTCTCTCCCATGGTGCACCCACATTGTACAACTTCAATGCACCTCTACTACGAGTCTGAGGTCCCTTTACAGCCGCACAACTTGTACATTTGCGACACCAGTCCTCGACATCGTTTCGACAGTGGACCCAGTAAAACCGTTCTCGGATCTTCAGTAGAGTTCGTTTAACTCCCAGATGGCCTCCTGAATAATCATTATGGTACAGCTGTAGAACATCCGGTACCTTGGCTTTAGGGACAACCATTTGTAAATGACAGCTGTCTCCCCGAACATTTTCCCATTTACGGCACAGAACTCCATCCTGAAGCAGCAAGCTGTCCCACTGGGCCCAATAGCTTTTAGTGGTTGAACTCATTGCTGAGACGTCGCTCCACTTAGGCTTGGGAGCACTGGCCTTTATCCATTCCAGAATCGGCTTGATGTCCGGATCTTCCTGCTGTGCATGTTGTAAGCTGTCCTTCCATTCGTTGCTGAGGTGGCCCGTCCTGAGCATCCTCACGGATACCTCTTCCTTACTCTCTTGCCTAGTACAATGGTTGCAATACAAATTCAGGACAAGGTCTTCTTGACAATGCATCTGCGTTGCCGTGAGATTTTCCGCTGCGATGTTCGATCTCAAAGTCGTATTCCTGCAGTAGTTCAATCCACCTCGCAACTTGTCCTTCTGGATTTTTAAACTGCAATAGCCATTTTAGTGCAGCATGGTCAGTTCGTAAGTGAAACTTTCGTCCCAGAAGATATTTGCTAAAATGCTGCAACGACTTTACCACAGCGAGCAATTCGCGTCTTGTGACACAATAGTTCCTTTCCGGTTTTGACAACGACTTGCTGAAGTACGCTATCACGACCTCTTGGTCACCATTCCGTTGAGACAACACACCGCCAAGTCCTATATCACTTGCGTCTGTGTCAACTATAAATTCTTTGCTTGCATCAGGGTGTCCCAAAATAGGTGTTTTGCACAGACGGTCCTTGAGCTCCTGGAATGCGATATTACAACTTTCATCCCAGCAGAAATGTCGCTTCTCCTCGGTTAGCTTATGCAGAGGTTTGGCTATATCTGCAAAGTTCTTCACAAAACGTCGGTAGTAGGAGCACAAACCCAAAAATGCTCTAACCTGCGTCTTGTCTTTTGGAACCGGCCAATCCTTTACAGCTGCGATTTTCTCTGGATCCGTGCGGATACCTTCTTCCGACATTACATACCCCAAAAAGTTGACTTGCCGTTTGAATAGTGAACATTTCTTCGGACTCAACTCGAGGTTGGCACTCTTAATCTTCATGAGCACGCGTTCCAAGTTTTGAAGGTGTTCCTCAAACGTACGGCCCACGATGATGATGTCATCCAAGTAGACCAGACAGGCGTCGCCAATTAGCCCGGTAAGTACAAGTTCCATCAGCCTTTCAAACGTTGCTGGAGCATTGCACAACCCAAACGGCATTACTTTAAATTGCCACAGACCCTTTCCCGTCGAGAACGCAGTTTTCTCCTTGTCCTTAGGGTCAATTTCAACTTGCCAGTAGCCACTTTTTTAGGTCCAGCGTGCTAAACCACTTTACTCCTGTAAGCATGTCCAGCGTGTCGTCAATTCTTGGCAAGGGATAGCTATCCTTCTTAGTAACGTCGTTCAGACGGCGGTAGTCAACACAAAACCGCAAGCTGCCGTCCTTCTTCTTTACCAGTACCACGGGTGAACACCATGGACCAGATGAAGGTTCAATAACACCATCCTTCACCATTCCCTTAATCATGGTTTCCACTTCCTTTTCACGTGCTACCGGCAATCGTCTTGGCCGCTGACGGATAGGCAACTCTTCACCTGTGTTTAATTTGTGTTGAACTAAACCAGTCTTTCCTATGTCAGCATCGTTTGATGAGAATACATTGGCGTACTCGAGTAACAACTTCTTCGCCTTGACCAATTCGTTCGGGGACAGAACACTGCGACAGTCTTCCAAAAGTGTGGTCACTCTCGTTTCTGAATCCTTGCTGGGGGTCCCACTCGATATATATTGGCACTGACGTAACCAATCCACTTCCTCACAAGTACCAACCAGTGTGCCTTTTTTTATAATCTGTTCCCGGTCGCAAAGGTTCAGCACACGTACTCCTGAGATGTCAGTGGTCCTGACCAAGGTTCGAGCTACTTTCCATGGAAGGTCATTGTTTACCCTTTCCACAAGTACACAACGGTGAGCTTGCCCAGCGTTTCGAGGAAGACTAACCGGAACAATCGTTTCCGATCTCGGCGGAAGAACAATCTTCTTGATGCTGTACACGTTCCCTGGTAACGCACCTTCCATAAAAAGTTCCTCCTGTCCACATTTCAAAACACCTTGCTTAACGTCGATCTCACAACAATTATTCCTCATAAAGTCTAGGCCTAGGATGCAGTCGTCCATTATATCAGCCACGATGACATTATGCAGGTAGATCACGTTGCCTAGCTTCAACTCCATCTCCTTCTCTCCACGGACGGGTATACGCTGACCGGTGGCTGTTACCAAATTAATGCGTTCTCGGTTGTATGCGGAGTCCCCAAGGAACTGACTTATAAGTTGGGTACTAACAACCGTACGAGAGGCTCCAGTGTCTATGGTCAGCTTACACGGCATTCCGTTGATCTCGCCCTTTATGATTAGGCTGTTCCCATCATGGGTTTGTGAGATCGAGATCCTTGGGGCTCTTTTAACATCAGCCAGCACCCGCCCCGCAGTTCTGGCTTTTACTCGTTTCCCTGCCGCTGCTGGGCGGTGCTGTTGGCCGCACTACCCTCCTGAGATCGTTCAATTTCCCTTTCTAGGGTTCGCTTAGGGCAGCTGGATCGAAGATGGCCCTTTTCCCCACAGCCATAGCACCTTGGGCTGTATCCTTTGTTGCGGTCGCGAACTGTAGCTGCTGCAACCTCCCTGACGCGATGGGAACGATGATCCTGCCGCACGGCTTCCACTTCCAGTGCATGGGCCAAGGCGTCCTTAAGCGTCTCGTGGTGCCCGAGCCTCACAGCAGCTCTGACTTCCAGGTCGCGGATGCCGTCGATGAATGTCTGCACCAGGTTACCTTCAATGAGCGCAGGTACAGACAGGTATGCTTTTCGCACCAGCTTCTCCACCTCTAGAGCCCACTGCTGCAGGTTTTCGTTGATGCGCTGCACACGATCTTTAAGCTGCGCACGAAAGACGTGTTCCAGGTGAGCGTCGCCATATCTCGCCTCCAATGCCTCAAGGAGTTGCTCATAAGTCACTTCCTCACCGAGAGCTTCCAGAACTGTTAAGGCCTGGTCGCGCAGGCCTAGTGTGAGAGCAGTCATGGCCTGACTTTTATTCCAGCCGTTCGCCTTCATAACAGCCTCGAACTGGATTTTGTAGGCTGACCAGAAAGAAGTCCCGTCGAACGGTGGCACTTTGAACCCACGTAGCGAAGGTGTAGTAGCTACTACGGGAGCTGTAGTTCCATCACCCAGTTTGAGGTCGTCCAGCGTTTTCTTCACGTCAGCCACCACGTAATCAACCCGATTGTTCACTTGGTCGATTTGGGTTTTAGCTTCCTTGATTTGGGTTTCAGCTTCCGACAGGCGGTTGTCATGTTGAGCAACCCTATCCTTCACCTCCCTTATCTCTTTCCCAAAGGTAGCATGAAGGTCCTTCATAAGGAGCATCTGCTCTTCCGACCGATGAGCCTGTTCCGCCTGCTGATCTTCCAACCGACGGGCCTGCTCCTCCTGTCGGCGGGCCTGTTCCTCTTGTCGGCGGGCCTGTTCATCCTGTCCGCTCTGCAGCTGCTTTTTCATCTGACGGGCCTGCTCCTCCTGTCGGCGAGCCTGCTCCTGCAGCATCACCATCAGAGCACCTAAGTCAGGTGCTGCAGATGTAGGAGTTACCGACGGGCCTGCAGCCGGTGGCTGGCCCTCCGACGTCTGCGGCGTTGCACCACCAAATCTTCGTTGGTCCGTCTCCTGCTGGCGTTGACTTCGGGTACGGACACCCTCCGTTTCCTCCTTAGGTAAAATCGGCATGATTTAATCCCACTTCTGACACCAATTGTTACGAGCTTGAGGTTCGTGACAATAAAAATTGCCGATAAAATTACCTAAATTAACGCTTTAATTTACTTTACACAAATTAAAATTAAAAACACTAATAATTAAACACACTAATTCACTTAATTCCGCTCCGAAGCTTCGCTTGTGTCGCCGAGTTCAACTCTGCCTCGCTCGCATCTTGCAGCGCCTATATATTTAAATTAGCAAAGAAATATCCAGAATGTTCAAGTAAACACGCGCAAGGTACCGAGCGTTCGAGTTTCGACTAGGCGCTGTCGGTTGAGTAATTTGTGATGTCATTTTCTCAATGCTCCCCTCGCTCTCGTTCCTGACACACTTTATACTTCACTTCAAAAGCTATGTGCGTTACTATGCCTACAATTAACTGAAATGATACAAATAATAATATGTCGCTATGAAGAGGCAACATACGATAATGTATTACTCCATATTATCATCCGGTTTATCACGCAGAGAAAAATTAGAAATGAGGATATCCGCAGTAGAACCAGAGTGACCGACATAGCCCAACGGATTAGTAAGCTGAAGTGGCAATGGGCCGGCCATATAGCTCGAAGAACCGACAACCGAGTTGGGGAAAAAAGGTTCTCGAGTGGCAGCCTCGTATCGGTAGACGAAGTGTAGGGTGACCCCCCACTAGATGGAGTGACGACCTGGTAAGACATGCAGGAAGTCGATGGATGCAGGTGGCTCAGGACCGTGCTTTGTGGCATACCTTGGGAGAGGCCTATGTTCAGCAGTGGACTTGTGAAAGGCTGTAATGATGATGATGATGATCATCCGGTGGAACTGAAACAGTAAATGTGCAGAAGCATCTTCCTGATATTATCCTAAAATCGACTGACATCTGATTTGAACGACACCAATCGTGAAAGCCATCTGAGTTGATCTGCGGAAATCATTACTGTAGTCGTTTTGTCGAACGGTTTAATTCCGGTTAGTGGGAAAATGGTAATCTATAAAAGACCACTACGTTTTTAAATGCAGATGGCAGTGCTTCTTGATAATGCTTAATGCTTTTTTGTCATTTCCCCTAAACTTTGACTGCTGAGGGTCTCCGTCTGGTTGGGCTTATTAAGTATATTGTTACGAGCTTGAGGTTCGTGACAGTAAAAACTGCCGATTGAATTACCAAAATTTACACTTTAATTTTCTTTACACCAATAAACACTTAAAACCCTAATAATTAATCACACTGATTCACTTTATTTCGCTCCGAAGCTTTGCTTGTCTCGCATAATTCAATACTACCCTGATCGCGTATTGCAGCGCCTTTAAATACGCCTTTTCACCGAAAAATTCAGAATATTCAAGTAAATACGCGCGCCAATCGACCAGGCGCCGAAAGTTCGAGTGTAGGGCTTCTAGAAAGCTTAGTTCTTCACTTCGATACTAGATGGCGCTGTCGGTTGAAAGATTAGTCATGTCATTTTCTGGAAAGCTCTCCTCGCTCTGTTACCCGACACTAGATGGCGCTAGTGCCATACGTCAACTTAGGCGCGCAACAATATGACTAAATTATCGTACGTAGCAAACGTATCGGTCATTCTCAGACGGCTCAAAAAGTCGTGTCCGGGTCGAAATCCAGTAGGAAATGAATTACTAACAACTTGATATTTTTTTCTATAACATATGTTCTTTTTTTATAGGCATATGTTCTTTTTTGAATAAATTAAATATAAGTTAGTTAAAAAAACCTCGAAAATATTGACCTCCATATTGCGGCGGCAATTATTTTTTATCTTTTTTTCTCCAATATTCGGCACTATTTGATATGTGTTCATAAACAACTAGATAGTTATTAATTCCATTTATAATATTACTAAAGCACAATAGGCCTTAGTAGACAAGTTACATCTGGTTGTTTTCACGTCCAACGTTTAGGATTGATATCAGTGGCGCGCACCAATCCGTTCATATATCCCATACTCTAGTGACTTTGAGAATAGTTGTTCGAGTAATACAAACTGTCAGTCGCGCCGCATTGGTGGTAAGATCAACGCGTCTGTGCGTTACCGCGTCACTCTTTTATTGAGGTACGTAATCGTTTTCGGTGGCTTGGTATACCCCTAAAATTGATTTCGGTGAATCCATTTTATCCACAACTATTTGAATTAATATTTTTAAATTATAAAAAAATTATGTCTTTTATGTAATAGATTTCAAAAAAGATGCTAATATAAAAAATCAGTTTATTTTTGAAAACATTTAGGATTTTATTAATTATTTTGTTTCCAGTGGCATTGATTTCGGTGTTTTCGGTGGAAATAGGTGCACTGAAATCAATTTTGAAATCACCGAAATCAATCAATCGTTATTTATCTACATTTTATGATCGTAAATTTAACTTTCTTACCTCCCTTATCTTGTTTCAGTATTGAGATTATGTCAGATTCAAAAGAAGATCGGTTGGCTAAAAAGGGATTGTCTGAACGACGTCGGAAAGCTCGCATTAAGAGTGATCCAGAGCTTTACGCAGTGCACAAAGAGAAAGATAGACAACGATATTATAAAAGGAAGAATGAAGGAAAGATAAAGTCTGTAAGTGAATTAGATCCTCGTCAACAAGGAATTTTTAGAGAGGGAAGTAGAATATATTCCAACAAACATAATTTGAAAAGAAGGCGTAAAGAGATGAGGTGTCTTGAAGAGGATTTAGTAATCGTACCAGAAGTAACCGACAAAACTGACGATCCTTTGGTGACTTCACAATCACAAACAGTACTTCAAACTGAAGCAAGTTCCTATGTTGCTTTGCTACCATCAAGTTCATCTGTCGTTTCATTTCCTTTACCTCAGCGTATTAAGGCTTATCGAGGTTCGTCAGCACCATTGAGTCCGCCTAGTGACGTAAGTAAAATTTCTAAGCTATGTACAAGATCATCAGTTCGTGTGATTGAAAAGGAGTTTCCTCCAACTCCAAAAGCTAACAAGAAACTGAATACCAAAGTTATCATATGTAGACTTAAATACCGCATGAACAAAATATATCAGTTACAGAAAGAGAAGATTGATGAACTGAAAACTGTCAACGAACGACAGCGAAAACAGATATATAGATTAAAATACCAAAGTGCTAAATTAAGAGAATATGAATATATAAGTAAAAATAATACTGAAGATATTAAACAAAGTGAATCAGACACTATAAAAACAATCGTATGTGTTCTGGGAAGAAAGAGTTCATTACCCAGAAAAAGAATAAAAAACTAAGACGCTATTTAAATGATTCTTTAAAAGACTTATATACTAAGTTTAAGCAAACAAATCCCCAAAATAAAATTAGTTACTCCAGTTTTTGCAAAAAATGACCGTTTTGGATACTGAAACCTATTGTAAATAAACGAGAAACCTGTCTTTGTATCGAACATGAAAATATGGACTTGATGGTGACTGTTTAAAAAACAATGTCATCACTGTGCTGTGACTCTTTGAATGTGTCATGTTTAATGACTGCAAAGATAAAAACTTAATCTATAATGAATTCAATAACACTGAAGTATTGTTTTACTGGATTTGTCAAAAAAGTAAAAGAATTTATTACAAGAATGGAGTTACAAAAAACCACCATTCACACAACGAAAGATATAGTGACTACTTTCCCCAGGGACACCATTTTAAAATTTGAAAAAAATGTTACCTTCATACATGACTCACTGTGGAGTTATGATCGCACAAAAAAAGTTTATTAAAAAAAATGAAAAGGGACCTCACTGAGGAAGAGTGTATAATTCACTGCGACTTTAGTGAAAATTACAGCACAAAATACGGAAATGAAATTCAAGCCGTTCATTTCGGGGGTAACCGACAACAAATAACCCTGCACACCGTGGTCATTTATTATCATAAAAATGGACTTCTGAAAGTTCAGTCGATGTGTACATTATCATAGTCTTTACGCCATGATGCACCAGCCATTCGGGAACATTTACTTCCGATTTTAAAATTCATAGAAGATGAAAATCTCAATATTCGTATACTACATTTCATTTCTGATAGTCCGTCGGCTCAGTACCGAAACCGTAAAATGTTTTATGTACTTTCCCAGTTTCCGGTATTTATGAAAAATAATTGCTAATTCCATCCAATCTCAAGCAATTTGCAGGGACTATGAAAGTACATCAGGCAGTATGGAACGCCAATAAGCCCAACCAACTATCGATGAGAAAAATGAGTTGCGCCGAAGGTGAATGTAAAAATAATTCAGTGTCATGTGAACATGGGTGTTGTCGGCGCACGTCATCGCGCCTCGGCCAAAATGATGGACGCGTGGGAGCGCGGACCGGTCGCTGACCTCGCGGCAGCGTGAGCGCTTCTGTACCTCACTCAGCTGCGAGACGCGGTAGCAGACGGGCACTTTATTTTTCAATTTATAATATGTTTGTTTAGAGGTTTTACGGCATTAAACCTAATGTTAATACAGTCCACTCATTTTATTTCTAAAGTCCCGATAAGGCCTAAACATATGGTCCTTCGATCGCGCAAAACATTTACCAGTTTTTGCCGTAATTAACGTCGGCAAAGTCAACGGTCACCGAGCACAATTTGAATCCGCGGCCACGTATATTGAAGAAGGAAGTCGTTCCCGTAGCAGCCTGCGTAATCATTGAAGACGCTGATGTCATCCTGGGAGTATAAAAACCGTATTTGAGTAAGTTCGTTCCAATTAGTTATTTTCCCGCTTTCTTTTCATGCCGAAAAAATCTTTTTTACATCTTTCATTGGCTAAGTACACATACTTTTTATAAGTAGGTACCTAATTAACTTCAGTGCTTTCAAAATTGCTTTGTCATTGCAACGCTCGCTTGTTTAAATTTAAATGTTTATTCCGTTACAAATATCAAGCTAAGTGTCGATTTGTTGACCTTGCGCTGATTCATATTTTTACCTGCGTGCAACAGTCCGTTTTGTTCTCGCATAGCTGTAGTCTTTTTTGTCCTAAAGTAATCAACGTTTTCTTTTCTTTTGCTGTGTTCATATAAAAATAAAATGGCAGATAGTTTAAAAACTTTATTGAAGAAGCGTAGTTCGATAAAATCAAAGCTTACAATTTACAACAATTATTTAAATTTAATTAAAAGTAGTTCTGATATTTCTGAGTTGCAACGTCTAGACTTAGCAGAGCGTTTTATTAATTCGAAACCGTTTTATATTCCGAATTTGACGAATTACAGACAAACATAGAAGTGCTTGCCGATGATGCGGCGTCGGCGTTAGTTGAGCGTGAGGACTTTGACCGTCAGTTCTTCAATCTGGTGGCCATCACGCGTAGCCTGCTCGGTGCTTCGTCCAACGGTACTGGGTCGGAGGCGGGCTTCAGAGACGCTGACTCAGGTGCACACTGTTCTAATAAGAATAGTTTAGTTCGTTTGCCTAAAATTGATTTACCTCATTTTCATGGGAACTACCAATGCTGGCTCGAATTTCGAGATACATTTACGTCATTGATTCACGATAACTCCAGTATCAATGAAATAAACAAGTTGCACTATTTGCGCGCTTCATTGCATGGAAACGCAGCCTTAGTTATTATAAATATTGATTTCAAAGGCAATCATTATAAAATTGCGTGGGACATGTTGTGTGAGCGGTATAACAACAATCGCCTTCTTATGAATAATCATGTGCAAGCTTTATTTGATGTCGATCCTATAATCAAGGAGTCAAGTATCTCAATCAGAAACCTCGTAGATACAATTAATAAAAATATAAGGGCACTAACAAAATAATATCAGAGCACTCAATATTGGGACATATTATTAATATATGTCATGACTAAAAAATTAGATTTGACAACAAGTCGTGACTGGGAAAAGCATAGGAACAATATCTTTTATAATATTGATGATCCTACTTTTATGCAATTTTGTTCTTTTTTTAAGTAGGAAAGCGGATTGGTTAGAGTCTGTCGAGTCAAATATCAATTCTTCTCAGACTAATACTATTGTAGCTTTAAATAATAGTCATACATATAAACATTCTGATTCTAAAGTCACTCAAGTTAATAAAAAATAAGATAATAATTTTAATAAGATAAATAAATGTCCACTTTGCTCCCAGGCTCATACATTATATAAATGTGAATCCTTTAGAAACTTAACTACAGAGGATCGCATAAAAAAAGGCAAATGATTACAATGTTTGTCTTAACTGCCTGCGCGTCGGACATTCTGCTAAGCAGTGTAAACTCACACATTGCAAATATTGCAAAACTAAGCACAATACGCTTTTGCATTTAGAATCTAGTGAATCCAAACCATTTTCTAACCCATTGCCTTCTGCTATCTCTTCTGCTATGCCTTTTGCGTCAAATATCGCACTATCAGCCAATTCCTTGCAGCTTGCTACTTCTGCGCATGTTTTACTGTCCACAGCTATGGTGAACGTGACCAGCGGGTCGGGTAAGAAATACACTGCGCGGCTACTGCTGGACAACGGTAGTACCGCCAACTTTGTTACACAGAGACTATCAGAGAAACTGGGTTTTTTACATTGTTACACAAAAGTGTTTTTTCCCCAATTTTTTTGCAAAGGTATAATAATTATAAACTAAAGCCTTTAATTCAAGTACTATTTGTTTTACTTGTATTTCAAAAGCATATATTAACTATAAATAATTAATACAAAAAAAATTCTTCATACATTTTTTGTTTACGACAAGGTCGAGGTCAAGGGCCTCACTTAGCTCTACTCGAAATCGGGACAAAAAATAGGGAGGTTCACAAAAAAATAAAAAAATGAAAACACATTATTAAATCAAATTTATACAAAATCAATCATGCAGATATATATGCTTTATATATGTATGTTTTATATATTATATATGTTACAAATAGTTTTCTATCACTCGACGCCATAATATGGCGTTTGACCTATTCGCATTATATAGATACGAGGGTGGATTGAAAAGTACTCGGCCTAACACAGATCCATTCAATTCTAAAAATCAAATCTACCCACATTATTTAGTTCAGTTCAGACTAGTTCATTGTGTGAAGTTCGAAACGTGTGCGATAATTAGTTGTGATTTTATAAATTTATTAACAAAGTAATCGGACATAATTTCCGCGAATGGAGCAAATCGAGCAGCGTGCCGTCATTAAGTACCCCCATAAGAAGGGGCTATCATCAAAAGCCATCCATGATGACATGGTCAGTACTTTAGGCGATTGTGCTCTGTCATATTCATCCGTCAAAAAAATGGATAGCAGAATTTAAGCGTGGTAGAGAGAGTGTGAAAGATGGACCCCGCTCTGGAAGGCCTTCGACGTCAACTACTGACGAAAATATTAATAAAGTACTTGATTTAATAATGGGAGACCGCAGATTAAAAATTAGAGAGATAGCCGAGATTATAGGCATCTCTTATGAACGAACTCAAAACATCATTGTTAACGAGTTGGGTTTCCACAAGGTGTCTGCGAGGTGGGTTCCGCGACTGCTTTCAGTTGAACAAAAAAAGGACGCGATTGACTATTTCACGCGACTGTTTGGAGTTATTTGAAGCCGATGCAGATGATTTTTGAATCGTTTTGTTACTATGGACGAAACATGGGTTCATTACTGTACACCGGAAACAAAACAACAATCAAAACAGTGGAGAAGACCTGGTTCACCACCCCTAAAAAGGTTAAGTCGATTTTGTCGGCAAATAAGGTGATGGCTTCAGTATTCTGGGACTCGAAAAGTGTGATTATGATTGATTATCTTGAAAGGGGTCAGACTATAAACTCTGATTACTACTGCACCTTACTACGTCGTTTACGAGAGGAAATAAAAGAAAAACGTCGAGGAATGCTCAGAAGAAAAGTCCTGTTTCATCAAGATAATGCCCGTGTTCACACGTCAGTACAGTCAATGGCTGAAATTCACAACTGTGGCTTTGAACTGTTACCGCATCCGCCGTATTCACCTGATCTGGTACCATCAGACTTCTTTCTGTTCCCTAACCTAAAAAAGCACTTGGGAGGGGTCAGACTATAAACTCGCGTCTCTCCCAAAATCGAGCCTTGTGGTACTCCAATTGACACAAAACTCGCTAAAGAAACTTGGTCATTTACTGAAACAATTTGGCTACGGTTACTTAAATAAGTTTTCATCATATTTAGTTCAGCTCCTTGAAAACCATAATGCTGCAATTTTAATATCATCACATCATGTCGCAAGCAATCAAAAGCCTTTGATAGGTCACAAAAACACTGGAACATCTATTGGGATTGTCCAAAGATTCTAGAATGAAATAAATTACTTTTCTTATGGCCATTTCGGTTGATTGTCCTTTTCTAAACCCAAATTGTGCTATTGTAAATAAACGATTTTCTTCAAAGTAACTTACAATTCTAGATTTTATAATGACTTCTAATATTTTTGATAAAGTTGGCAATATACAAACTGGCCTGTAATTACTGAGCTCTGTGGAATCCCCTTTTTCGACTTTTATTACAGATTCTGAATGACTGTGCTTGGATTGAATTTTTTTATATGGAAATTTTTTATTTTTCATATTCTGATTCTACATTTTTAAATAAAGAATCTGAAAATAAGAAGAAATTATAATATAGTCTACCGTAACAAAATCAAGAAGATGCTGCTGTGCATTATATATCATCAAATATATATAAATAAACTTATCTATATCATGGAAGCTCCTCTCTTATTACAACCGATGCGGGGAATTGAATTGTCATTTGAAATTTTCTTAAATTCAAATGTCTTATTTATTTGTTGCTCAAGTAGGTAGAGTTGTTTAAGAAAATTCAAATTGTAATATAGTTCTGTTTTGACCACTGTTACGTTACTACGCTTATTTGAAATATCACGCATACGTTGAAAATAAAATAGCGATACGTTGTGTTTTTGAACTTTATGATAGACTATATTACTAATTATTAAGAGACAACTTTGAAAATGAAAAAACGACTATAGTTCGTGCCCAATCGATGGACGGACGTTGACCTTTCGGTCGTTTAACCAGGGGCTACAAACCTTCAATATTGTTGCGCGGCTAAGCTGACATCTGGCACCAGCGCCATCTAGTGTCGGGTAACGGAGCGAGGGGAGAGCTTTCCAGAAAATGACATCACTAATCTTTCAACCGACAGCGCCATCTCTTGTCGAAACGAAGAACTAAGCTTCTAGAAGCTGACTCTCGAACTTTCGGCGCTTTGTCGATTGGTGCGCGTATTTACTTGAATGTTCTGGATGATTCGGTACTAATATTTGTTTGTGTATTTATAGGTGCTGCAAGGTGCGATCGGGGAAGTATTGAATTCGGCGAGACAAGCGAAGCTTCGGAGTGGAATAAAGTCAATTAGTGTGCTTAATTATTGGTTTTTTAAGTTTTAATTTGTGTAAAGAAAATTAAAGTGTTAATTTAGGTAATTATATCGGCAATTTTTATTGTCACGAACCTCAAGCTCGTAACAATATATAGGCACTTTTTATATGTGGTACTTTCTATATTTACAATGTTTTATTTTTATTTTTTATATATATAATGATTGATATAATGTATATTTATTAACTATTATAAACTACATATATACTATACTATATATGTATATTATAACTATTATAAATATAAAAGTTATGTAAAAGATCGCTGTGGGGGGAAAAATCATCTATTGTTATAAAGTACTTTATTCATTTAACAACAAAAGCATTAATTTATAACACATATAAAGATTCGAGTGATAACGACACCGAATAAGTACGTACTTATTCAAAAGATAAAACTTTATTTTCAATATTATATAAGAACCTTATTTTTATTCGGTGCATGCGAGACGGCTCAAAAAAGTGACGCATCTCTGGCTGCCATTGTCACGTTTCTTTTAGAACGAACTGACGTAACGCGCGATTTATTTATTTTAAAGTGATGAATTTGCAAAAGCTCAATACGGTGATTATATTGCTTTCACTGACCTAGAAGTGTGAATAATGTCAATATTTAAATGTTACGCCTTTTGACACGGCTCATATCTGAGGTCATCGTCCGTTTTTCTCAATCGATTTGGCACGAACTATAGCTTGGTCGCTTGCTGCATAATAATCCTAAGGCACATATCACATGTTGGCGACTTAGGAGAATCCATCACAACATTTTGTCTCATGGGTGTCGTAAGAGACAATTACGGAAACTACCAGAAAAAACTTAACTTTACCAGCTGATGATGGTAAAAAAGTTTCCTAGACACGGCAATAAATAAAAAAAAATTAGATGTTATCTGCAAAGATAAAAATTTCGAAAATAAATCACAGGTAAAAATTTTTGATATGAAATGTTTAATAATAGGTATTAAAAATTAGATTTAATCAGTTCCCTTGATATTACTTTTTTGACCCCAAAGTAAATCAATAACGAACCATTGGCCAATATAGTAGAAGAAGTGACCCAAAACAAAATATGTAATTAATAGAATAAGTTGAAACGTTGAAAGCATCTTGAGACCTGGATATATGTATTCTTCTCGTGACATACTCTGAAGACACCTGATGACAAAAATATTATATCAGAGTAATCGTTACCGTTACAGCTCTTCGTAATCCACTTCTGAACATTGCACCTCCGTTAAATCTCATCATAATCTACTACTGAATATTGGGTCTCCACATAATATATTGTCTTATTATTTACCATAGTAGCTTCGCTTAGCAGGCGGGTTGGTGCTCACAGTTATTTTTAATATTTTAGTTGGATTTTTTAGTTGGAGACTCAGCTCCCGATCTTCTGGTTTGTGTCTCCCTGTCGCCTCTTACGACGTCCGCGGGACGATATGGGTTAGTGGATATTCTTACATAACTACTACATGGGTTATCGCACTAGAGGATAATTTATCCTTTCTGTATTTATTTATGTACATTTGCCTATTTAATCTTATGTAAGTCTATCATTTTTTGAATATGTTTGTGTATTAGTTTGTTATTATAATATTATAAGTGTATTATTTTGTTTTTAGAATATAAATATTATCTCGACAATGGTGCAACCACGTTTCGTAAATCTAAACCATACAGGGATTCACTCAAATGCACACAAATAGATAAAAACTTTTCGAATTTTATTTTACCTCTGAAGTTTCACGCCCTGTAATCTGTTTTTGGTATCGTATGTGGTATTCAATAAAGTAAAGGTATATAATATTGTATATATAATATATATATATACCTATTGTACACACCACTATTTTTATGCCATAGCTATAAAGCAGCTACCAAGAAGGGGAATAGTGGAGGTGACCAGAATTTTCAACGGCTCATTAAGAACTGGCCACTTACTGACAAACTGGAAACAGGGCAATATTGTCGTGCTACCAAAGCCGGGTAAGGACAGGAGATACCCGGCTATCTACGAGCACTTAACATTATTAACACACATAGCGAAACTTCGAGAAAATCACACTCAATAGACTACTGGGGGAACAATTTGGCTTCCGTAGAGCTCTTTCAACCACAGCCCAACTGACCCGCGTGCTGCACTATCTTGTGGCCGGCGGTGAGATACTATACAAACTGATAGAAAACACCACCTTGCTGCCTATGTTTGTGCGGCTAATAGAGTTTTTCCAATAAAAAAAAAATAATTATTCATACATACAATAATTCCTGGAGCGGCGGAGCTTCTATGTTAACATTGAGGCGATTGTCTCGGTAGCACAACCGCACGGTAATATTTATAGATAATATTACCGTGACAACCGATTGAAGCGGGAGTGCCGCGGGGCAGCTGGCTCACCACATCTGTACGCGGTTTACATTAATGACATCCCCACACTCCTAGGCCGCCTAGAGGAGTGGGAAGATGATGTCGTCTTGGCCTTATACGCAGACGACAGTACGTACTTCACATGATCTCGTCGGGTAGAACTCGCGGCAAGGAAGCTGCAGAGACTGTTGGACTTGTTACCCAATTGGCTGGACAATGGCGCTCAACGTCGGGAACACCGCCGCCTTCATGACCAGGCTGATACGCATTCCACCAACCTTGCGACTCCGTGGCCAGGACGTAGGTTGGAGAAGGACTGTCACCTACCTAGGATGCCAGATAAATCGCTCGTTGCGCATGACCCCGATGGTCGACCACGTCGTGGCTCAGGCCAGAGTCGCACGAGCAAAACTCTATCCCATACTGGCATCCACACTCCCGTTCGAAACCAAAATCACCATTTATAAGACCTACGTCCGCTCACGGCTGACATACGCAGCACCAGCCTGGTACGAGCTGACATCGGCCACACAGCTCAAGAGGTTCAGGCCCAGCAGAATCTTGCGCTCCGGGTGATCGTGGGAACTGGCCGCTAGGTCAGATATGACATTATAGCAAGGGATCTCAAAATTGGGTCAATCCGTGATTTTGTGGCCTGAACTGTGAGACGGTTGTTCAACCGCGCAGATAACGGGTCACAACCGCACCTGCAAAATTTGGCACCACTCCACGCGCGCCAACCTGACGGGCGATTACTCCCACGAGAACTTCTTCGCTCACGGCTCGGTGAGGGAGCCGCCAGGGACGAGTGAATTTCCCTGACACTTGGCTTGATGGCGTGTAGTGCGCAACACCCCAACCAACACCCAATACCGGGAGCCGTGCCCCCCTCCCCTCCCGCGAGCCCAGGCTGTGTCAAGAAAAAAAATTAAAATACTGTTTTTTTTTAATCGTACTGAATACAATTTTTTTATACGTGACATCAATTATTGTTAGCTTATTGATATTGTACTTGACATTCTGAGCTGGAAATAATAAATATAAAATTTTAAATAAATGTTATTAAAAATCCTCTACTATTGTATATGACGGAATATGATCACCTGAAGTGCTTATTAAATACAACGTCATCAATGATGACGTCGTTATTATGATTTCCACGGTCATTCATTATTGTTCTAATAATAAAACACATTCCACTTATCACAATTCACGATCTAAAATTATTCTCCAATTTACAATAATTCGCAATTCACAAATTCGACTAGGTCCGAACAAAACGAAAGCTCGAACAAAAGTGAGTCAAGCCGCCGCATACCTTTTAAACCGAATGCGAATATGCGCAAGCTAATCTTACTTCGTGCGCTTTGAGCATAATTACTTTCTAAATTGTTATATTATATCATATTTTTAATTAAATATTTAATTAGTTAAATTTAAGACAGAGAAAAGAGAGATTCACACTGTCTTGGGCTCTGTAAACTCCCGATGAGTCGGTTGAGTTCACTACCGTCACTCCACTCTCTTAGCTCATAAGCGCAGTAATATTATCTTCACGCTGAGTATTGCTTGGCGCTCTGTATTTGGTGACTGTTTAAGTGTTCACATTGTGTTCACACGCTGTCCCGGGTGACGGCAGTCTCACTGTGAAGTTTATCGGTTGTTTGTTGTGCTAAGAGTGTTTTGTGCGTAACTCTCCTTCCAAGCTTCCTGGTAACTGGCAAGCGTAAGTAGAGTGAAAAACACCCACCGCCTCAGAAGCGATCATCTATTTTGATTTTTGTGTTGCTTGTTGCACTAGGCAATAGTTGGTTGCACACCCTATCGTACTAACGTGCTAGGTTTATAGGTGGTTATTATAGGCACACATCTCCTCCGCCGAAAGTGGGAGCTTGGTACACGTATGTGTTAACTTATCTTAGCATAGTACAAGATATCGTCGTTTTCAAACGACAAACTCGCCGACTTCCTGCGTCTAGCCTTCCCCAAAATTTGGTCTCTGTTTTTAGGACAGCTCAAGGATAAGTCGATATTTCGTGAAGAAATCCTCCTCTCTCCCCTCGGGCCCCTCTCTCCCCTCTCTCCCCACTCCGCTCCAGTATCAACGGTTTCATTCGTCGGTGCATGACGCTGCGTCACCCGCGCTTTCAGCGATGTCTAGCTGCAGCCCCCCCTCCCAGTCTTCTCGGACGCTGACTCAGTCTCCGACATGGAAACCGAGACGTGTTCCCCATCCAACCCCGAAGACGAAGGCTTCGTCCTCGTCCAGGGAAAAAAGACAGCCGAGACTAACTCGATCCCCACGTCCCTCACCTTCACTCCGGCTAAAAAGCCAACCGTCGTCATTCAAGACAAGACCAAATGCAATAATCTGTCCAATTGGCTAAACACAAAAAATATACTGCCTAAAGTTGTAAAACGTCGGTCCGTGTCACATGATGATCCGTATGTTCGTCAACTCGACCGAGGAATTCCGGAGCATCACTAGGCACCTGCGCACCCAGGAAATGAGTTTCCACACTTACACCCTACCAGAGGAGCGTAGCTTTCATGTGGTCGTTCGAGGACTTCCTACGGAGCTCGGGACCGTACACATTTTGGACGACCTCAAGGTCTAAAATCTCTCGGTCCAGGAATTGCACATAATGCACGACAGGAAGCGACCGACTTGACCGACAGGAAGCGATTCATAGATCTGTATCTTGTCATTCTGGATCAGTCTCCGGAAGGCAAGGAGATATTTAACGTCCGGTGCATCTGTAACCCAACGGGGATTGCAACTGAAGCACCCTAAAATAGGTACATCGTGACGATCAAATCCGTAACACTGGTGTCCTCTTCTTTGACGTCGCCAAATTGTTGGATAAAGTCTGGCACGACGGATTGCTTTACAAGCTATATTAATTCAACGTGTCTGATAGGCTCACTCACATCATCATAGCCTTCCCTGCCAACCGCTATTTCCATTTTTGTATAGAGTGAACTCACTCCTCCAATAACCTCCTCAGGGCTGGAGTCCATTAGGGCTCCGTCCTCTCCCCGCTCCTCTTCACACTCTATACGAGTGCCATTCCGAAAGACCCAGTAGTCAACACCGCTCTCACCCGGCATGTTACGTCGCTCAGTCGAAATTTCTCACAACGATGCTCCAAAGAGCCGCCAATTGCTTAGGCGAATGAATCCTGAAAAGGTATAGAAATATACTTTCAAAGGAAACCCTCTCTCATTCGTCGGAACCTAAATCCGAAAAATTCTCCAGGCACGATCACCCTATTCGGTCACCAGATCCCGTGGCAAACAACCACTAAATACCTTTGGGTTACATTCAACCACGCCATGATATTCGCAGAATTCATTTGCATCGTCCAAAATCGTGCCAAATTCACTCACTAGTCATCTTCACCCGCTAGTAAACAGTAAGAGCAAACTGTCCCTCAGACACAAGCTCCATCTTTACAAAGCTTACGTAAAACCTATCTTGACCTACATAAGCATAGCCTTCGCGCATGCGGTTGATAAGCATTTGTTTGACTTCCAAGTCATCCGAAATAGATTCATTCGTATAGCTACCGGAGTTCGTTCGTACCAGCGAAACTCGGGCTTGCACAGAGATTGTCAACTTCCGACGATATTTGAATACTTTAAGGAAATCTCTCGGCACTACTTTGAGAGCGCTGAGACACATCCCAACCAGCTAGTGGTAAATGCAACCACCTACCTACGCTCTGATTTCAAACGTTAAGCAAAGTTTCCGGAGGCCCTGTAACGTTTTAATTGAATCCCTAGGTTCCACTAGATTTTGACGACACAAATGTCGCCGACCCGTCACACATAGACAATACACATTCACCTAGTGGCACAAACACCGATAGGACAACGAATGGGTCGCAGCTCGCAGCGAGTCCACAGATGGCTGCGCCACACACCCCTCTACACCGCGTACACACCATAAACCCGTGTCCCTGGGCGGACCTGCCCAGAACATCGAACGATACGCTTTAGCCGTTGGAGCTGGGCCCGCCACCCCCTGCTCGGACAGCCGTTAGATAACTCACCCACGTACACTGTATACTGTCATAGGAGTCATCATTACGCATGTAAGGATGCGGAATGATTGAAATTCACCCTATTACAACTTTTACGACTTTCAGGCCGCGGGCCCCGATATCTTTAAGTCTCTAAAAGCCAAAAGGCTAACAGCATTAACATCATCAAAAACCAGAGTTCAAGCTATAACTTATTTCTGCAATATTTTACAAAAATAAAAATAATGCTCGGCGCATTACTTAGCTTATACTGTTATGTTGCTGTGCCGAAAATATATATATATATATATTTGAACTTACTTATATTTCTTAGGTAGACTTAGTTATAATGATCGATAAACGTTTTCAGATTTCTTCAAATTTAGTGGTGATAAAATATGAAAATACTTACACATAAGCGTAGGCGCATATGTATGTAGAGAGGATGATAATTCCCCATCTATAATTGCTAGGTTTTTGTCGAGGAACCAATACTAGGTCCAATATTACAAATACTAGCGAAGCTGTATGCATGCTATGTTGATCCCAAAACGACACGTACTTGTCGATAGAAAGTGGCATCAATAGCTCTCGGTTCGTATTCCACAAGGTCCAGAATATGATGTCTGAAAACTAAAACATGATATTAAATTCTATTACGTATGCATGATTTGTTTAAAAGTTGAGGATCATATAATAATTATTATTATAAGATCCTCAACTTTCTATAAAGAATGAAGAAAGATTTCTTACGTAGAGCCACTCTGCAACTTTATAATAGTTGAAGCACGAATGGGTCAGCTTGACCGGGGTAGGACCACGATCTTACAGAATACCAACGTTAAATAGCAGTTTCGTGTGGTGAGTGTAGAGAACCGGAAACCCTTTTAACAGGAAACGAGGCATAGAACCGGAAACCCTTTTTACAGGAAACGAGGCATATTTCATCACAGTTCTCAGGTGACAACGCATTTGCATTTTGATTCTTAATCGAGGATAAATTTAAATGTCTATAGGCCACAGAATCCACTTACCATCAGGTGGACTGTGTGCTCGTTTCTCGTTTGTCACCCTATTTTATAAAAGAAATGAAAAAAACGGGACACTGCCGGGGCTGTACCGCTGATACTGATGATGTAGGGGGTCAAGGGGAATGGTTGTCGGTATTACGTTGCTCCTTTTTTTCTACCCCCCTCAGCTGATACGTGACCGGCATGACTCGGGAGGGTCTGCTGCGATGGTGGAGTTGGACGACGTGTAGGAAGGCGCGTCTTGTGTTTCATCGTGCCTTACCTGATATATCGAGCAGTTGTCCTCTATCAAGGAGGGGCAGCTGGAGCTGGTGGGGATACATGCGAAAGCGTTTCCATGGCCCAGACAATATACGACGAAGATGGAAAAGCATGGGGTTTTAGTCGTGAGTCCGACATAAACCGTCATTACACCCGAGTGTCGGGTAAGCGTAGGTATTTTCCCTATTTTGTAGGTAGGTAAATTCCCATTTTTTTATCTCTATCTGATTGCGTTATCACTGTGCCTGAGGACTAGTATAGTACTTCAGTAAAAAGGGTCACCGGTTCACTCATAAGGCGAAATAGCATTAGCATTTGCATTAGCTGCTATTTTACGCTGGTGTTACGTGAGAATGTGAACCTTCTCCAGACAAGTCGACTCATTCTTACTGCAAACATAATTTGGCTATATAATTTTTTTATAGAATAGGGTGACAAACGAGCACACAGTCCATCTGATGGTAAGTGGTTGCTATGGCCTATAAACATCTACATCTATCCTCGCATACGAATCAAAATACAGATGCATTGTCACCCATGAGTACTAAGCTACCTAGGCTGCACTAAAAGTATCGGGAATGGAATATTTCCACTGTTCCTGTCATATTAAAATCTTTTTAATTGAAAACTCCTTGGTTTTAAAAATCGAATACCATTTATTTATTTAAAAAAAGATTCGCGGTCTTGTCACAAGGTTTTGTCAAACTTGTTTAGTCGTTGAGAAAATGAAATTGACTCGAGAAAATTCAAGAGCGATGATTTATTATGGCTTTCGAAGTGGTTTAACACAAAAACAGTGTGTTGACCGGATGATTTCTGCATTTGGTGATGAAGCCCCATCCAAAACCACAGTTTATCGCTGGTTTACTGAATGAAACGTAGACGTGTCAAGCTCAGTGATGATCCCCGTCAAGGTCGTCCAAAAACTGCAGTCTCCCAAGAAAACGTTGATGCTGTGCGTAAGCCGATTGAGGAAGATCGACATGTGACATACCGCGAAATTCAGGCAACTTTAGACATTGGCATGAGTCAAATACAAATTGTGCATGAACAATAATCTTGCATGAACAATTAGGTGTAAAAAAGTTGTTTTCCCGATGGATACCGCATTCGCTCTGTGAAGAGCAAAAACCGGCTCGCGTTACTTGGTGCGTCAGAACTCTGGAAAGATTCTTCTCGAAAGAAAAATAGTGGCCATGTTTATCTCCAAAACCGGCCATGTTACGACTATTCCTCTTGAGGGACAAAGAACGGTTAATGCAGAATGGTATGCTAGCATTTGTTTGCCACAGTTCGTTTCTGAACTCCGTAAAGAGAACTGCAACCGCCGCATCATCCTCCATCACCACAATGCGAGTTCTCACACCGCACAAAGAACAAAAGAGTTTTTAGAGCAAGAACACATAGAATTATTAGACCATCCGCCGTACAGCCCCGACCTAAGCCCTAATGATTTCTATACTTCTAAAATAAGTAATAAATTGCGTGGACAGAGATTTTCATCACCTGAAGAAGCTGTGGACGCCTACAAAACGGCCATTTTGGAGACCCCAACTTCCGAATGGAATGGTTGGTTCAATGATTGGTTCCATCGTATGGAAAAAATGTGTCAAATTTCTCGGAGAATACTTCGAAAAGCAATAAATACATTTTTAAATAGTAATGTTGTACTTGTGTCACTTCCTTGATTCCCGAAAATTTCAGTACTGCCCTCGTAGAATGCCTAGTTTCCAGTAATGAGGGTCTCCGGTTCTCTACACTCACCATACGAAACACAGTAGCATTAAGCTACTGTTTTACGCTGGTATTCTGTGAGAGTACGGTCCTTCCCCGTTCGAGCCGACCCATTCGTGCTACAACTATACTACTAATATGACTGCAGCATGGCTCTACCACGTAAACGTGTCACGTCGAAAAATTACAAATATATTAAAATTTGTTGTTAACTTCCTGTAAAGTGATTTAGCATGAACAAGATTTTTCCCCATTGGTTTTTTTCACGTGACAACTGTTAAACTATATTATTTTGATAAATAAAATTAATTAACATCGGTAATATTACTGTACCGTATACATTAGAATACAATTCAAAAGTATAAAATATTTAATAAACATTTACCAACGTTGCTGGCAGGATAAGACCGGTGAAATAAAAATCTCTAATATTCTTTAACGCCTTTACATGCAGAACATTTGCTTTTGTCAATTCTCGCCAGTCGCAATAAATACATAAAAGTATGTAAGGCATAGATAGAATCTGAAAAAGAAAATGTACTTAGTTCCAGTGGCGAAGCTTCCATTAAAGCCGAAAAGCCGGGCTTGCCTTATTAAACCTGAATCAATCAATAACATCAATCAATAATATCAACTAATAAAATAACTCGCAAAATGTTTCAAGCTGTTTCAAATTTCCCGCGCACTCCACTGTTCGACACATCATGTCGACCGATTACCTCGTATTGCCTTAGCGATACTGCTGCTGTCATAAAAAATGAGTTTTAGTAGAGCTAATAGTTGTCTCCCTCGCTCGCGTGGGCTTTTTACGGGGCTTTCGAGAAGACGATCACTCTCTATCTAACCTAGGGCAAAATATTCTATAATGAAATATAACTGCGATTGTATATATAGAAATTAGTATAGAGATTTAAAGCCAGGCTTTTGGGAATAAATTTGTTAAAAGCGGAGGCGCGTGGGCAATACGTTTGCAAGTTCATTTCACGTTTCAATGTTTATTTACTCTGTTTGCTTATCTTATACGAGACGAAAGAATATACCCAATGTCTTCAAAACAAAACTACAGGTTGTTGAGCATGGCGTTAGAAATCAAGCTGTAAAACTTATTAATAGACTACCTAATGCCCTAAAAACCATAAATAATGTTAACATTTTTAAACAAAGGTTAAAATCTTTTTTATTGGAAAATGTTTCTATTCAGTGAATGACTATATTGAGTTTGGTAAGAATTAATATTGCATGCATTATTTAATTAATAATTAAGTTGTAGACAATTTTAGTAAACACGTATAATGTTAATTAATTAAATTTAATATTGTTTGTTACAATTAAGTTTTCCCACACAATGTATATTGTTTTTGGAATAAATGACTAATGACTAATGACTATCTTAATATTACGAGTTCAAAATTTATGCTTTTTTAAAGATTTCTAATGACAATGGAGGATAATAGTATTCCTTGTGATGAATTGAAGACTGTTAAAGTGATAATCGGAGAGGAAATCTTTAAACTTTGTTGAGATAATACACAAGGTTAAGAGTGTATTCCAGACTTATCAATTATCGCAATTAAAACAGTTATTGGTACAAATAAAACGTTCACCAACATTTTACGTGGACGTAATTAAATCTTTCCATAAGAAAGCGAGACGATTCCACTTATCTTATCTTATCTCTTATCCATTAGAATGTAAATAATTTCTAGTAGTAGTAGAATCCGACCTTTTTTCTTTGATAAAACATGTGTAACCTGACTTATTTCTTTTAGGCCTCCAAACTGACAAAGAAAGACGCATCACGGAATGATTTTGGTACATATGTGTAGGGGCAGTAGTAAAAATTTAGGGGCTATAAAAAAAAAGTACAAAGATGTGTGCGTGAGCGCGTGTCAAGAAATTGAGCATTCTGCTACACTTTTGCATTGATTGAAATGTATGCAACGTTGCGGTCTGAGTATGGTTCAAAGAATAATTAAGTAAAGATCTCGGTAAAAAAATATAAATATGAAAAATTTGAGTATTTTATTTTTAGTCATAATTTTGTCTGCCAAGGAAAACACAAAAAACACATTATATGATATTTTATATAAAAATATGATTTTAAGCTAAATAAGAACTGCTATTTATTTCGTAGATAAGGTTAATTCGTCTGTTATTTAAGTCGATTAACAAACCGTCACAAAATTGTACCGTAAAAATATGAACAATGAAAATGTTTCTTCGTTCTAACATTTCAAACGTTTTAGACTCTATATGATAATTACAATCCACAACAATAGCCTTGCTGCTATTTAATAATCGTATAGTACATAATATATAAATATGTAATAGACGAATAATTACCTAAGCGTAGTTTTGTCAGAGCACAAGTAAATATAAATTATTTATCAAGGTGATAAATTGTTAATTTGTAAAAAAAAAACACTAAAGTCATAACAAGGTGAAGGTAAGATCACCTAGTTTCGTAGTATTTTTATTAAAACTCAAAAGGAGTTTGAAAATTAAGGATTTATTGTATTCTTTTGAAGGTTTGGCTACTTTTATCGGAACCATTACTGTGTTTATTTATTAAAAACTTCATTCAATATGTATAGGCGGGCTTAATGCCTGAGGCATTCTCTACCAGTCAACCTATGGGTGATGCAGAGATAAAAGTATGAAGTAGGTGAAAATTATTTAATACATGCATAGTATTATAATATATAAATATATATATATATATATATATATATATATATATATATATATATATATATGTAATTATGGTGATATCAAATGCGATCTTAATGCTGGTTTGTATTGCAATTTATGGAATCGATACGCGTGACAATGTTACCGATACAATCTGTTAATGCCGCGTAATTATTTAAGTTATATTTTAATATCGCTTTTGATGAGAGCACGCAATTATTAAACGATCCAAATGTATTAATCGATTGTGCCTAAAATATAATTGAATTAGCAACTTCGGTAATTAACATTACCTATATGGAGAATAAAGTGTATGTTGAAATTACATTCATCCTCTTCATCAATATAAACATTCCATACTTATGTAATAACGTCCTATTATTACCTAATGGAGTCAAGGTAGCTCAGGTGCTAAGCACTCGCTGTAAATTTCACAGTACGGGAGAAACCAGGATTCGATGCCACTGGCACTAATTTACTATGTGTTTGACGGTGAAGGAAAACATCGTACGGTAACCAGCATGTCCGAGAAATAAAAAAAATATTTCGATGGCATGTGAAGTTCGTCAACATGCATTGGGGCAGCTGGGCGAACATTACCTTGCCGTAAAACCCTCTCAGAAATAAGAGAAGGTCTGCGCCCAGCAGTGGGACGTATATAGGCTATTACTTTACTTTTCTTCCCTTATTATCTAATATACAGAGCAAATCAATTTTATTTATTTTAATACTCATCGTATTATAATAATAGTAGAACAAACAATGTATGGTCCTCTCCAAAGCAAGATATTATGTAAAATTATATTGTTAAATTAATGTATGTAGTTGAAAATTACTATCCACAAATGAAGAGTAACGGTAACAGTTCACTTCAACATAATAGTCTTTTTAAGAATGTGCCGTCAGTCATATATTAATTAACACTAGGGTTGCCAGATGGTCGGGATTCGTCTGGATTCTCCCGACATTTTAAATGATCTCCTGACTCCCGACAAAATTCAAAATCTCCAGATAAACAGGTTCTGGGAAAGTTTTATACAAATTAATAATTTAAAATTGCCGCACGTTCTTCTTCGTCATGTCCCAACAATATGGTTATCTATTTGGCCCGCTTTAGATCGTTTACTGTATTGATAACCTGCTGTAAAGAAGGTTATTTTGGTTGAAAGGGGAAACCAATATCGAAAGGCATTATTATTATGGGAGTTTGTAACAAAAAGTCTAAGCTAAATATTGATAATAGTAAAGGGGTTAACGAATGCAAAGAGGAAGGGCTTTCAGAAGCTTATTTACATACTTTCTACACAACGTAATGTTGGAGTACCAAGCAGTAATTTTAACAGTGGAAAGTGCTGCATGGACCGTCCTAGAAATTGATAGTGTAATAAAAAAATTAATGAGTCGTCTCAAAAACAGTTTGTATGAATAATGCTTCAATAGTAGAAATAGAACATTATTAAGAAATGTTGCTGATAGTGGCAATGGGCCGGCCATATAGCTCGAAGAACCGATAACCGATGGGGAAGAAAGGTTCTCGAGTGGCAGCCTCGTACCGGTAGGCGTAGTGTAGGGCGACCCCCCACTAGATGGAGTGACGACCTGGTAAGACATGCAGGAAGTCGATGGATGCAGGTGGCTCAGGACCGTGCTTTGTGGCATTACTTGGGGGAGGCCTATGTTCAGCAGTGGACTTGTGAAGGGCTGTAATGATGATGATGATGATGATGATGTTACTGATAGTGAGAAAACTTTTTGCGTCAAAGCTGAACAAATAAAACTTGCAATTTAATAATTTTAAGAACCCTATGATTTTTCTGAACACTCTATACAAAACACTCGCTGTATTCTCTCTAAAAACTTCAAATTTATTTATATGGGAAGAGCTGGTATCTCCTGGCGAACTTAATATTTCAAACAATATTTATTGATTATTATAGATCAAGTTACTTGTTACACCGATTACTGTTGGTGTAGTCTTCGAGAAATACTTGAACATCTTCTAAAAGACAAGGAAATGTCAAATGACAAAATTTGGGTATTTTTTTAAATTCACAATATATATATACACAATGATATATATACACAATGATATATATATATATATATATATATATATATATATATATATATATATATATATATATATATATATATATATATATATCATTTGTGTTGCCGCTTCCTGTAAGCAATGCTTACTGTGAAACGGTGTTTAGTTTGCTAAATAATTTCTGTGTTATAATATAATAATTTCTAAACGCTTCTAAAAGCTGTGTTAGTAATTGGACTGAACTTACTTCAAGTAAATTGTTTGAATTTTAAATCTAATACCAAAAACATGTGACAACCTGAAAATTAAGTGTACTTAAATTGGTTATATATCAAGAATGTTAATTTTTTTTTGTGTATTAATTATTTCTATAAATTATGTCTATTAGTTAAAAAAATATATTACATTCTTATCTTTCATATTTATTTCTCCCGGCAACAACTCCAAAATCCCGACATTTTCAAACTTTTTCCAGATATTTTGGTCTTCCGATCTAGCAACCCTAGTTAACACACTGATAATCACCACACTGGGCAAGCGTGTTGGTGATTGCAAGTCTATAAGATATTTTTGACTGATTTAATTACAGTAAAATAAGAAAGAAATAACTTTGCAGTTAAATTTGTATTACTTTTTGCTTTATGGTCAAATTTGAGCTGATGTGAATCTGTGAAGTGAATAGGTACTCACTTCATTTTTGTCTAAAATATACAATTAAATGTATATAATATTATATGAATTAAATTTTAAATGATATTAGATTGAAATAAGTAGTTTTTTAAAGTAAGATTTTGACAGAAAGAAATCTAAGACATACAATTTTGTAGATTCGGTACACTTATCAGCTAATCACTAAACTAAGATTAGTATTAAAAGTGATGCAAAATTATAAAACAAAGCACTACTGGCCTACTAAATAGTATAAAAAAATGATGAACGATATGTTTCGCAGACTTACATTAAACCAAGTCGTGATTAATTTCCACTTGAACTTCGTGTAAATCATAAGATTTGGATCCTTAGACGATGCAAAGTCTTTATTCAACAAGATGACCGCCATAATATTATGATGAGCGAAAGTCAAACAATAAACGAATAATCTTACTTTAAGAAATAAATTACTATTTCTTAAAAAATTATTATGTAAGGTGAACATTGTCTGGCGCGTACACTCCGCTTTATGTTCGGTTACAACAAATGTATAAAGGCAACTTAGCTCTAACCTTTTACGTCAAACTATATATTAAAATTAGGCAATTAAAATGCTTTAATGTATTTTCATTATTACATACGTGTTACTTTTCAGTTTCTGTGTTTATTGACAAAAAGTCATCTGTGATCTTCGAAAACGATTGAAAAATAAAATTATTATATTAAGTCTTAAATAAATATTGAACTGAAAATTTAATATGATCACTTTCTTATAAACCAAAAAATTACAGCTTTGTTTGCATAGATGACTCCGTGTTACGAAAGCTCTTAAATCAATTAAGGGCGCTACTTTATGGACAATATTTTGACAGTTGAGTTTATAGTAATATTTCAGTCAATTTTATAACACTAAACAAAGGCCTTTTGTGTTTGCGCATACGCTATGTTCAAACAACAGTAATTCTTAAAATAATAAACATACAGCTGTAATATTTATGTTTTATTGTAGCTTAACTTAAATTCTGTCGATCTAGTAAAAAAATAAAAAGGGTAAACGGGGTTGTTTTTGCAGTAATTTACAATAATTCGCCGATTAGCATAATTTTTTGGTATTTATTTGAAGTAATTTTTTTTTTCAAGCAAGAGTATGTGAATAATTTTTTTGGTAACGGAAACGATAGACAATATTGTTGTCCTTCGAACGAGCTATTTTTTATCTCAGTAAGACCAACGTTTTGAGAGATATGAATATTTTTGTAAACACGTAGAGAATATCTCTAGAAAAAAAATGGCCGCCACATAGAGGGGGAGGGAATTAGACCTCAGTGTGTAGTGTATTTTTGTATTAAAATAGCTGTATCATAAGTACCTAGAATATCGCTAGTCCGTGACCGGACACACTGTATGTAAATGTTGAATTTAGTTAGATGTATTCAGTAAAAACGCCTATAAAATAATGACATAACGTAACATAATAAAATAACATTTTAGAGTTTACTTTTAAACGGATTTATTTAAAATACTTTTTGATTTACTTAAACAGATATTGTCGCTTAAAAAATGAAATACAAACAATTGTATAGTGCCGTACGTATTTACTCTTAACTGAGTTTGTGTACTGAAAGGAAATACTCTGAAGTAACGTTATTTACTTATGCTATGTTATTTACGTGGGTAGGTACTATTAAATTGTGAAGCGAAAACTTCTTTAGCGGCGTTGTAGACTTTTTTTGTAATGGGTAAAAAATGTTGAACTTGCGTCAGGACACGTGACCTGATCGAAAATGCGTAAGACGGACGGTGTAGAAGAAGAAGTATCCCCCTCTCTTTCTACGGCGCGGAGAAAATGTATGCCTGCGCCTACTGTTTCGTTTAGGCGGCGCAGGGCGCTTCATCATTACAGCCCTTCACAAGTCCACTGCTGAACATAGGCCTCCCCCAAGTAATGCCACAAAGCACGGTCCTGAGCCACCTGCATCCATCGACTTCCTGCATGTCTTACCAGGTCGTCACTCCATCTAGTGGGGGGTCGCCCTACACTACGCCTACCGGTACGAGGCTTTTTTTTTGCGGATGGAAAATCATCTAATGACGCCTTTCGCTCTGGGTGGAGCGTAAGGGAGCGTATCTCTTTCGAACAGCCCGCAGCCCCGGCAGGCGTCGGCCCTTGCGGGCCCCTTCACGCTGCTGACAGCTCTTTGAGGCGCGCGTGGAACAAAACGCGCCGTCGACACGGCCTGTCGTCGTTAGACGGACGGACGGCGAGCTACCCATTGCTCGCCGTCCGGGGAGGCCGGGGGCCACGACGTAGCCCCCGACGCCCGGGGCGTCTCCCGCGGCGGCCGGGGAGGAAAGCTGCTGCTCTCTCCTTCTCCCGCTCCGCCACCTCCTTCGCTAGCATCACTGCTTCGCAGAAGGTGGTGACGGCATCCCATTCCGTCTCGCTCCGGACCATGGCTTCGACCAGGGCCGGACGCGAGAGGTCGCCGCCGCCTATCGCCGCTACGAGGACACGGCGGTGCTCCACCCAAGCAGGGCACACCTCTACGGTGTGTTCCACCATGTCCTCCGTTCCATCCTCGCAGTGGGAGCACCCGGGCGTTTCCTCCCACCCGATTCGGTGCAGGAACCTCCCGAACACAACGTGTCCGGTGAGGACCTGCGTCAGGCGGAAGGTGAGGATGCCGTGGCGTCTCTCAAGCCACTCCTCAAAGAGGGGTCTTATCGCCGCTATAGTGGCGTGCCCAGCACGGGGTTGCGACAGTCGCTGTCTCCATGTCGCCATGAGATCGTGCCGGAAGTCTGTCCGCTGCGCGACAACTTGCCGCGGCAGCGGGGTTTCCCCACGGCACCGCGCCTCCGCGCGAACTTTTCGTGCAGGCGCGCGAGGACTATCGCCTCCAGATCCCACGGCGGCAATCCGGCAAGGAGGCTCGCCGCCTCGCGGGAGATCGTGCGGTAGCCGCGAACCATTTTCACGGCAATCACCCTTTGGGGCGCTTTCAGGTGGTGGACGGCAAGCCGCGCCAAACCACGCGCCCACACCGGGGCCCCGTAAAGGGCCATGGACCGCACGATCCCCGCGTAGAGCCTCCGGCAGGAGGCGTTTGGCCCTCCCAGGTTCGGCAGGAGCCGCCTGAAGGCGGCCCCGGTCCGTTCCAGTTTGGGAGCCAAACGTCGGAAGTGCTCAACGAAGTTCCATCGGCCGTCGAGGACGAGTCCTAGGTACTTCAGCGTCGACTCGACGCCGATGGATACCCCTCCTACCATCACTGAGGATCCCGGTGGTGGCCTGTTCCGAGGACCATGGAAGTGCATGGCCTCGGACTTGTGCAGAGCCAACTCGATACCCAGTTGCCGAATCCTCTCAACGACTATCGCAACCCCGCGTGTCATAGTTTCCGCCGCCGCCTCGTACGACCCCTCTTGTGCTAGTACCAGCGTGTCGTCAGCGTAGCAAACTACGCTGACGCCGGTAGGGAGATCGGCGCGCAGCACCCAGTCGTAAACGATGTTCCACAGAGGTGGCCCCAGAACCGAACCCTGTGGGACACCGCACGACATCTCTCGCCGGTTCCACTCACCGTTGCGACCGGGGTAGATGACGGCCCTGTCCGTCAGGTAGTCCCCGACTATACGACGGAGATAGGTCGGCACCCGGTGATACCGGAGTGCCTCCCTAATGCAGCTCCAGGGCATGGAGTTGAAGGCGTTGGCGATGTCGAGAGACACCGCCAAGACAACCCCCCCTCTGGCCACTGCATCCCCCGTCGTGAGGGCTCTCACGCGCATGATGGCGTCCACCGTGGAGCGCCTCTTGCGGAAACCAAACTGGTGTTCCGCAAGATCCGGCCCCGTCCCCGCGAGGTGCTCGGAGAGGCGGTTTGCAACGACTCTTTCAAAGAGCTTGCCCACCTCGTCGAGCAGCACCACGGGCCGGTATGCGGACGGAGAGTCCGAAGGGCGCCCCGGCTTCTGAATGAGAACCAGCTTCCCCGTCTTCCAACGAAGCGGGAATTGGCCTCTCTCCAAGCATGCGCTTAGGAGCCCCTCCAGTCGGGGCCCGAGAGCCTCCAAGGCCAGGACCCAGGCTTTACCAGGCAAGCCATCGGGTCCTGGGGCGGTATTCCTGGCCTTGAGCCTACGTACCGCCACTCAGGTCTACCCCGGTCCCTTCCGGGATGTCGTCGTCGTCGTCCTGGTGGTCCACTTCCGGCACCGCTGGTGGCGGAGCCATAGGCGGGGGCGGATGTTCCCCCTCGCGCAGGGAACAGAGCGCTCACCACGTCCTCCACGAGCTGGGGCCGGAGACTTTGCGTCAGCGGGGAGGCCCAGGTGCGGAGTTTATCCCGCACCATATCTTGTAGGGGTGCCCCCACGGATCGCTGTTGAGAGTCTCCAGCATCTCCTCACGGGCCCGATCCCGGGCCCGCAGGACAGCTTTCCGGAGGGCGGTCTCCGCCGCTCTGTATCCCTCGTACAGCTCCGCCTCAACGGCTGCCGCATTCGGTGGACGAATGCGGAGCCTGCGATGCCTGGCGTACAGGTGCCGCGCGGAGACACACGCCTCGCGCAGAGACGTCAGCTCACGCGACCACCAATACACCTGACGCCGGGCGCCTACTGGCCGGACGCGGGGCATTGCCACGTCACATATCTCGGACATGGCCTCCTGGAACCACCCCGCCTCATCATTGACGTCGGCAGGCCTGTCCAGTGATGACACCCAGGCCTGCACGATCGAGGCTTCCAGGAGGAGCTCCCGGTCCAGCTGCTTCAGCGCCCAACGCGGACCACTCGGGGCCTGTTGGACTGGCGCGCTCGAGGGCTGAGTGGAGACATCAAACCGGATGTACCGGTGGTCGGAGTAGGTCTCCACCCCCTCCATGACACGCCAGTCAATGGCACGCGGCGACAGAGCGGGGCTAGCGAACGAGATGTCCACCACCGACTCGCCCCGCATCCGCACACACGTGGGGACAGAACCCCGATTTAGGACAACCAAGCCTGTCTCCAGAGCCCAGTCTTCCACCATCCTACCCCGCACATCTGTACGACGAGAACCCCAAGCCAAGGTCTTGGCATTGAAGTCCCCGAGGACAAGTACGGGGAGGGGATAACTTCCGACGACGACTGCTCTCAGCTCTGCAAGAGAGTTGTGGAGCTCGGCGAGAGATCGGTTCGGGGAGAAGTACATCCCCACAACGACGAACTCCCCGAACCATGCTGCTACGCACCCCTGACCCCTCCTGACACCTTCAAGGGTCGGGGTACCGGCGGCGGCCGAAGAGATGATGGCCACTGAGCCGTTAAGGTCCGCCACCCAGTCCTCCCTAGGCCAGACAAAATACGGCTCAGCGACCACAGCGATGTTAATCGACCACTGCGCCATGCTCT